TCTTTACAAGGTTTTAGCCAAAATTACACCAGGTATGCACTCTTTGATCTATTGCAATGCATTCAAAAAGACTACAGCTTAGTCGGGACCCTATTTCCTTTAATTATATAGCTTTATATACTTGTTTTAAGAATTTCTGATAGGCTTTCCAACATATCGAGCAACCTTTAGCATAGCGAGGATTAGGTGTTTCATTATTTAAAGTAGCTTAGTTTAGATATGTACAGGTTGGTATATATGTGTAGCTTTTTAGTCTAGTCTAGGTTCTAATTTAATTGGATTGGAGACATCGATTGACTTAATCTGTTGGGTAGGTCCTATTTAAGTCTTCTTCTTTTTCGCCTGCTTGCCAGGACGTTAGGATGACTCTAAAGCTTCTATAGGGAGCTCTCTGCTTTTCATTTGATTGTATACTCCAACAAATAAATAATAAAAAATTCGCATACAGAGAATTATTTCCCTTTAATTCATTTAAGATTTAAATTTGGCCAACAAAATAAAATAAAGAACGGATTTGGATCAGGATCAAGAACAGAAAAACCAAACTATTTTATCGTATTTCATGCATTTTGTAAATATAAAAATATAAATTCTATTAAAAGCAATTAAAAAGATACAACTTGCTGATAAACAAATAATAATAGATTTGTGAACTGGTTGATTAAGCCGCTGGCAAACACAAATAGAAACAAATATACGTATATATAAATATATATTCCGAATGCAAATAAAATCAGTTTGAATTCAATTAAAAGCGCATTTCACTGGCCAAACCAGTTGGTTGACCAAATTCGTAGCGCTTTATTTGGTGAGTGTGCAAAACTATGTGAAAGCAATTGAATTGTGGGCGGCCTCTGCATTTGGGATGATATTGTGGGGCCAGAGACTGTTGGCACTGTGCCCTGAGGTTGCTTTGCACAGGTGTCAAGCGCGGCGTGTATTCAAATTAATAATGCCAAATTGATTACATAACATTTGTCAATGGGAAATCCGGTTTCGGCTTGAGTCTAGCATGGGCTTAGCCATCCGTCAGGCACACCACACAGCTTCATGATTGAATATGATTGATTTGGGCCGCATAAATTATGAACAGGCCAGGCCCTCGGGTCCCCGAAAAGCCAGAGGTAACCAGGTTCCAGGTTTGCCCGCCCAGCAATCTGTCGCGACCTTGGACATTTGACAAATGAGCTGCGTAAGCCGCAAGATTTTACACAAAACGCATAATTAAATGACTACCAGGCGCCAAATTGACATTGACAGTGGGCAAGGACACAAAATGCCAATTGGCCCAAAACCAGCTGACACTGGTCTCAATTCGTGAATGAATAATGTCAATTGCAGGTCAATTATTGGAAATCGAAAATACTTGTGAAACATAGCAAATGGCATTTCAGTAATTCCAATTGGATTACCAATTGGCCTACGCGTGATCCACTTACAAATTGCCTGAATTTCAAACAGTTGGGCGCTGCCAATTATAAGCAGGCCAATTTGATTAAGTATAGGTGACTTCCTTCCAAAATGGACAGAATTAATCATCAAGGCGGACGCGAGCCGGCCTAAGTCTATAATCATAATATGACATTCTATAACATAAGTTAATTCGAAATACTACTTGTTGTTCGCCTTAAAAGTATCGCTAATTTGAAAATTTTGAAAAAAGTATATTACAATAATATGCATAAATAATTTGAATATAACTCAACATATTAATAGCATATTAGAATCTTACTATAGGAAGTTATGAATAACAATTTGAATGCATTCACTCACAAGTTTTGTGCGATAAATTTATCGATAGCAAGCATATCGATTGGCACACTTGATCACTCATGATTGCTAAGAGACACGCAAGACATTGTGCATTAAATTTCAACTCCATATTTATGTATTTATTGGAAATTTAAGAATTGGAAGTAAAAGCTTTTCAATTTGCTTACTACTGTCTTTGCGACATGTTATCGATAAATATCGATTGGCTCAATTTGTTAAAAAAGCCAAATTCGAAACCAAGAAAAAAGACATCGAGGCTCTGCATATATACTTAATAAATTCCGTAAATTTCAGCTTTCCATTTGAAATTTAATATCATTGTCCCTGGCTTAATGAATGGCAACGCTTCGATGTTGATATATTCAACAATTATATATCGATATATGATGCCAAGTTCAAAGAAACATTTTTTAATTGTAACTGCAAAGCCCAAGATTATAGCAAATTATCTATTCATTTTTATAGATTTATTTGGAATAGCACTAAAAATTATTGAAGCGCGTTTTTTCCACATATTAATTTTAATAATATTTTTTTTCTTAACTTTTGTTCGTTGACATTTTAACCAGAATTGTTAGCCAAAAAAAAAGAGTCGTAAAAAAATGTTAACAAAAAAGCGACATGGCAACGGAATATTTAAAAAATTCACTCGCGACATTTGTTGTCTTTTTTAAGGCATTATTTTTGTTGTTATATATGTATATATGTATATATACATGTGAAAAAAAATTAAACAAACAAATGTTGTCTTTTGGGCCGACGGAAATTAAATATAATGAAAATGAACAAAACTATTTTACAAGCACATTTTTTCCCTAGATTTCCGGCTATGCTTAAATTAAAACCTAAATTAATAGAAGAAAAAATACAGAGCTTTATATATACATATGTATATGTATATTTAATGCATGAATGAATAAAATTCTATTTAAATGCAATTAGCATTTTATATGTATCTGAAATAGAGTTTCGAATCGTATCTGAAATGTTGTTTACAAGCCCCGGAATTGGTGCTCGTAAAGAAAAACAAACGCCTTCATCAGATACAAATTGCTCGTATGTAGGTATTAGCATATGATAATGCCCTGGCATACACATGACCATATTTGAGAGCTGTGTAATTAATAATGCGCATCTAAATACGCAGCCAAACAATCTAAGAAATGTCTTAACTATTCTTATAGCACGGCTAAACACCAAATTAAATTATGAATCGCCAATAACTTGATTAAATGAGCCAACTATACGGCAATTTTTATAAGAAACATCTCTTCTAGACATAAATTATATTCGACATTTGTTTACTCTTTAGCTATTTAAACATGTTAGCAGATTATGATATTCTTACAATTTCAAGATGTCACAATAAATGAGATCGCCATGAAGTTGGAATACTAGCGGAATATACCAGGATGAAACCTATCTGAAGATTGTCTCTCAAGAAAACTTACATCTTAAAGAATGTCGGCATTGAGAAACAACTTAGTCTGGGTGCTAACTGGTACCTTGAACCCGACTGCAAACGGGTTTTGAAACGAAGCGGTTCGAGCCAGAAATTGTATTCTATTGTTGACCATCTTAACAATACCAGTTGACCAACAAAACAACTGAACCAAAGCCCGAACCGAACCATATTTATCTTCACAAATCGGCCTGCTTTAAATACAAGACTTTTGATGTGGAATTAGCCTAAACGACATAAGCTTTGACGTGCACTTTGGGTCTCAACAATTGGATATATCTAAACTTGAAACTGTATTTTTTTATTTAAACTTTTTAAATATATGAAAAAACAACAATCTTAGTCTTAGCTACATATTCAGTCCTCATGTCAAGTACTGTTTCTGACCATAAGAGCATGAGTTTTATATATTTTATAGACATTCTGCAAAAACCCTTTGCCTAAGAATTTATTCTATCATATTACCTAAAAGCCCAGATACAGGGTATCAACTAGGCCAGCATTAGCGACAACAGAATGTTGAGTTGTTTATTAATGAAAATAGGAATCGTGCGGCTTGGGCTACGGTTGGCTACAGTGGTAACTCGCAAATGTTGATTAAGACAATTTATGACCAGTTAGCCCAAAGAATGGTTAAATAAATGGGATGGGTTTTTTTTCATAAATCCCAACAAACAAAATGTAATTATAAAATGTTTTGCATTTAAAGAGCAGGGGCTCTCGGCAGTTAGTCTTATTAGGCGTTGGATGGCACAAAGCCAGTTTTTAGCGCACAAACAATAAAAATAATAATATTAAACAGCGACGCCCACGCATGTGGGAACCTCCTAACCAAAGTCAAAGTTGTCAAGTGCGCGCTTATTAATAACCCAATGGCCGAGCTGGGCGCTTCGACGAGTATGAATGAATGGATGGGTGAATGAATGACTGAATGTATCGCAAAGCAACAGCAAATCTGACTTTCAGCTGAAATCAAACAGAACGACTACAAAAAGCAGTTCCGACTGGCAAACACAGCGCCAAGTTTGTCAAGTCAACTGGGTCTAAAAAAACAATAGTGTTCTGGTCGGAAGTGCACGACTGAAAGATACCCTGAACCCAGCGCCGAGCTAACTTTACAAACTGCTTACTTTGGTATTTGTAGTCCGATCTGTATGAAAGACATATGGTCTAACTGTAACATACGAAAGTATGAACCGAATCGCAAAGCTTTATCTATTTTATTTATATACTTTTCTTGACGTAGTATACCAGAACCTGAATTTCTGTTAATTTTGGAGTTATGCTTAAAAAGCCATTTCCCGAAATCGATTCTTATCGATATTAAGAGAGCATGGAAGGAGTTATCGAGAGAGATTAGTGAGGCGTTCACATGGACGAACAGATAGACAGGCAGGCAGCTCGACTCAGCTCCTCTATAGGGTCAAGGATGCTTCCTCTTGCCCGTTACATGTATTTGCACAAAAATATGTTACCCTATTTAAGCATATTGATTGGGTGGAGGGTATTAAAAACTGAGTTCGGAGACTGACGCTGATGGCTGATGACGCCAACGTAGCGTTGTCTCAATTCTCAGCTGTTCTCAGCTATGCGACCTTTTTGGAGAATGAGACAGAGACAGAAAATGAGACTGAGAATGAGACAGAGACTAAGGCTGAGACACAGGCGGTTGCCTGGCTTGGACAGACTTATAAATAGCCCAAGTCCGTATGGAAGGCGCTTCAGTTCAAATCGAGCGCTTCGAGTGGCATATAAATTTAATTTAACGAAAACTACTTATAAACAAATAAAATAACTATATATATATATATACAATTTCTTTTGTTGTTCTTAAGAAGTGTAACTTAAAAATGGTGAGTGTCGTTGAGTGAGCAAAGGTTCGATGTAAACAAAACTCTTCGCATTAATGAAGCTGATGTTGTTCTTTTTTTTTATTTGTTTTTGTATCTGTTTTTTTTTTTTTTTTTTTGTAAAATTACACACAAAGACAAGACATAAAAAATGCATTAACTACGCGACGTGAGCAAAATATTCAAATAAACTAAGAAACACTCGAGAAGTAGTCAAAGTCGAAGCGTCGGCGTCACTGGAAAATCCCTCAGCTTGAGTATCATTTGAAGTGTTTGCTTCCGGCATTTCGTGGCTGCCCAATAAATCTGATCAAATATAAAAAGATATATATATTGCAAGCAAATTAGACGAATAAACATCTTCGATATCAAATCAATCGGTAACATCGAATGAATTCTGCCTGCTCTATATGGCCGATACGACATGATCCGATAATAGGGCATATATTTATTTGAAAGCTATTTTTGTCAGTTTTTGGGAGGATGAAAAGAGATTTGCATAGTTCTCAAAGTCTTTGAAAATATAGTCCCCAAACCTCAACAAAATGTGCTAACAATTTAAATAGTTAACAATTCAGACAAAAACTAAAAGAACTATTGAATATCAGAAACAAATTTGGTCTGCTTATAAAACTAACTTATATTGCAAATCAGATATATATATATATATTGCAGCTCAATCGACTCAGTCGCTGATTTATATCAAATATATCAAATTGTTCTGAAAAGGATCTAATATTTACTTTCTGATTGTATCATATTTATACATACTCACTTTAAGCGAGTTATTAAGAGAGTTTCAGCTAATGAACTACGTCAGATCAGTTTTGCCCATAATGAAGGGCTCTAAATAAACTGTTTCATTGCAGTGTGTCACATACATTAAGAAGTTGACGAGCTACACTCCAAAAATGACACCTCAGAGTTGACTAGCAAAAAATTCCAAAAAAAATTAGATGAGTTACAATCTATGCAGATCAATCAAAGTCAGTTGAAAGTGCTGAGATTAATTAGCTACACGTAGCTAAAATAAATACTTAAGCAGACGAATTATCCAAGTGAACTCAGGCATTTGGGCAATTGGGAACGGCGAGGATCCAGCCAAGTGTTGTCTTAGCCAATTGTATAGTTTGTACCATATTTTATCTTACTCATACATCATAGAGATAATTCAAGCATTTTTATTTTGGGAACATTTCGCAAATCTTTCGTAATTTTGGGCCACCCACTCGCTTGGTTTTGACCTTGCAGCAGCTGCTGTGCGACTAAATTATATATTGCCTATTCGGGCCAAAAGCAATTCAGCCAAGCAGCTGCCAATTTGCATAATCTGGCTGAGTTCTTGATTCATATTTAAGCTGAAATCGAACTCACTAAGAAGCGGCAACGACAAGTTTTCACTTGATGTGTCATGCGCAAACAATGATCGGCAGCCTGTCGAATTTATCTCGCGGACATTTCTATATAGGCCAGAGCGTAATAAAGCCATCAGAGCACTACCAAAACTGGTAGCAGCTGCTGACCAGAGTCGACCAATCGCAACATTCTAATTAAGTAGCCCAACTAAATCGGCGGACATAGTCATGCTCATCGTGCTGTCAAAGATGACGTCGTTTTTTTCCTTTTCTATATTCTATATTCTATACTTACATATTTATTTTTATACACTTGTAGGAGAGTATTATGACTTTGTCACGAAATGTGTAACACATAGTAGGAGACATCTACAAAAATAAATTTGTATATATATGTATTCTCCATCAGCATCAACAACAAAGGTTATATAGTCAAGTCCCTCTGTCAGTCTTAAGGTTATCATCATGTTAAGTCCTTCTTTTTGCTGCAGGCTGCATAAGTCCAAATCCGACGGATCGGACAACTATATCATATAGCCTGTCATAGGAATAATCAATTAAAAATTACGTTTTCTCATAAATAACTTTTTGTTTTCCCAAAAATCTTGACCAAAAGCTGAATACTAGATCGTATAGCTCATTTTGACCAAACATAACTTTTATAGGCGTCATCAAATCGGATTTCCAAAACAATTTCCAGGCATGCCAAAGCCGTTTGTCTAAAGGGGTATCAAATCTTTTGTTTTCTAATAAGTATATGGCATAGCTACATTTTGACCAAACATTTTTAAAGCCCTACCATATCGGACTGCCATATTATAAAGCTTTTATCGGAAATATCTTTCGTAATTCAAGCTAATTTACAGCACTTCCCAGCCGTATATTCACAAGGGTATTAAGACTTCGGCGTGACGAAGATAGTTGTTTTTTCTTGTTTTCATTTTATTTATATTTTTGTTTTTGTTTTTTTTTATTTTTGCTATTGGTTCTAGTGAATCCCATGACGCATAGTGTCACACCTTCATCAATTTTTAAAGCATTTTACAAGCGTAAAATCAACTCCATGATTTACGTTTTATGTTATTAAACTCGATTTTAAATCAATGGGCTCTTGTTTGAGCCTAAAAAATAGTATGATTAATTTTGAAAAATGATGTAAAAATATTTTTGAGCGCTGACTCTATAGTCGGGTTCTTATGAGTAAATATTAACTTGTTGTATCAGAAGAATGCAGTTTCCTATCCCACATTACTTAAGTCCTTAAATCACATATGTGTACTTAGAGACCTAGTATATATCTAATTTTAAGAGTAAATATTATATTGTTCTATCAGAAGAACGCAGTTTCCTTTCCCACAGGATAGGTGTACTTTTTATTATATATTATATAGGAATAAGTTAGTTTATTTCTTATTGGTCGAACACGCTAAACTAGATCATCCGCAATCTTTGAACTTTAAAGAGAGTATCTTCCAGTCGGGTATTCTCGGTTACTCTCGGGTACTTCTATTTATACTTGCGTACAAGTAATAAGAGCAAAATAATTACAATATCAACCCAAAATCTTAACACTCTTGCCTTCCTCTCTCTCTCCATTCTCTTCCAGCTTTCACAGCCGCAGCAGCTACTGGGCGTGGCATTGATACTACTGGCCCTGGGCTGCCAGAGTACCATAGGTAAAAAACTAGAGAAACGTTGTGTCAACTGCTCATATCGTACGTATTACACTTATGGCGATGGTCGTTCCCTGCAGCGCGTGATCTATCAAGATCCGGTCTACACACGTGGTATTTACAAAGCTCCCCTCAACATGTTATGTCTTCGCTAACAGCCGCAGCACCCACCAATCTACTGACCCACCTATGTGTATATCTATATGTATATAAAACTGTTTATCGTGACTGATTGACTGACTGACCGACTGATTGAGATATAAATGCAGAGTTAGATAATTGCACCCGCAACAGGAGAAAATTAATGGTAACAGTTGAGTGAAACCTTTTTTGTTCACCATCCAGATTAGCTTTAATGTCGTTTTTCACACTTTCCGGAGGGCATTAGTCCTATAAAGGCAAAAGTTCCCGTTTCTTTCGATCCGCTTTAAGTTTCAAACGATCTAAACTATAAAATAATGAATATATGCGACAGACATACTGTTGATAGTAACTTTATCTCTTTCAACCGATCGAATTCAAAGTCATATTCGAATGTCAATGTTGAACCTAATCCACCGATTTCGGAAAATCCACTGCAACAAGTGATGGTAACCAATTGTAATTTGAAAGCAAGAAACTGTGCGACCGGGCAAAAACGTTTAACAACAGCTAGAATTATATGTACACATGATAGAGAGCACGACTTGGGCTAACTGTAGCACTTACTTATCTCCACGTGTAGCACAAAGCATCATTAACAACACACACAACCACCACACACTCACACACCCGCCCACCCACACACCCACACCAACACACACTGACCTATTTTATAAACAGTCTATAATGTACATAAATAATAGCATAGTATAAATTACCATATCACCAATGCACGAAACACCTATACGCAATGTTCCACACCTTTTTCCTACCGCCCCTCCACCCGCCGCTCGTGTGTGTTGTGGGTTCCTTTAGCTGCCCAGACTTACGGCTGCAGTGGAAATCCGTGCGGCGTGAACGCCGTGTGTCAGGAGGCTGCCGGCGGCCGTCCGGTCTGCTCCTGCCCGCCCGGCTACAGCGGTAATCCGCTTACGCATTGCAATCGTGGCGAGTGCTTGGACAACGTCGACTGTCGGGGCGACCTCCAGTGCAAGGATAATCGCTGCGTTAACCCATGTGTGGGCGCCTGCGGTATTGGCTCCAACTGTGATGTGAGTTTTTTTAGTGCTCACGCTTATTCGCCATTTCTCATGTTTAAACCGCACACGGATTTTGCAGGCCAGAAATCATGTGGCCGTCTGCAGCTGTCCAGCTGGCCACAATGGAGATCCCTACACGGCCTGTCATCTAAACGATCCAGGTAAGAATTGCGCAAATGGCAGTGGAAAAAAACCATTGCCATTGCCATTGCTATTGCTTTCTTTGGCATTTAATCAGCCACAACATTTTTTTTTTTTCAAAAATATGCATATTCATAGAAAGCGCGATTCACAGGGCTTGGGCAAATCCACCATTTCAGGTGAAAAATGCGTGGAAATCTGTGTTTATGAATATTTCAATGTTTTCAACCACAAAACACATATATTACAGATTTGATAGACTTTCATTTGTGCATTACTATTGCTATTTAAATGCGAAACGGAATTTATTTTTATTTGCCAGCATTTTTTCGAAATTTACAAAAGAAAGAAAAGCTCAGCCTTCATCTTCTGGGTACAGATTAAAGAGTCCGATTAAAGAGGAGTTTTCGGTCCGTTTTTTATGAATAAAAGTCAATAAAGCAATCACTGATCCAATGATTCACGGACATGCCCTTTATAAATATTTCATTTATTGTATATCTCATTATATTTGTGAGATTTGTAGTTGTTGTTATTGTCGCTCTTATTATTGTTGTTGCGGCTCTTATTGTTGTTGTTTTCATTGATTGTTTTAAAGTCAATTAACTGGTTTTGACCAAATATCGCCTTTTTCGGGCTGGGTCGCAGTATTAATTTTCGAATGTAGGTTGCTTGCATAATATTTGCGCTGAATACAACACAATACAACGACAACAACAACAACTACAACAACAACGTTGTACGCCCAATACAAAACGCACTTGCTCTTTGTAATATTATGGTAATTAGCTGGCATTTTGTTTTGCAATTGTCAAGATCAAGGACGGGCCAAGTAGGCGAAGGCGAAGGCAAAGGCGAAATCGTAGCAAACCAGAAGTCGACTCAAGTCGAGTCGATACCCGATTACGGACATACAAACAAGTATATATGTTTATATAAACAACAGATATACCCTTGACAGGCCATGGTTTTTAAATCAGTTAATAGATACTTGCGATATTTCAGCTGCATTCTCGTAAGGAAGTCTAGAAACAGCTAAAGATATAGTCTGTAAGCTATTTACTGGGTATCTTAAATAGTTAACTATGTAACGTTAGTATAGCCAACCGCTTAATTAAACGTTAAATGCAGTAGTATCTTGGCAGAAAGTATCTTTAAGAAACATTCAAATCATGCAGCTTGCACGAGATACAAATGCTACAGTAGAACTTGGGCAATTACCTGGAAGCTAGCTCTAAGATTTTGCTATCAAATTAATGCACAATAAATCTTAATTAAACTTCAAAATGATGCTGAATTGGCTCAAATAAGAAGTTCACTACTGTTGGAAGGCTGCCATCCATGAATTAAAACTTAAAGTAGGCATTTTGGACTTAACATTTAAGATGTCTCAGATACATTCCAGTATCTATTAGCTGAACACATTTTGAATTCAGCCTAAAAAAACTTAGACAATAATTCAGTTCTCACTTTATAAGCTCTCTAGGCAGTCATTCAGGCCGACTAAATAATCACAATTCGAGCTCGAATCCCAGGCTAAATAAAATACATTATATATAAATATAAATATAAATATAAATATAACATTGTCTAAGCTCAAGGCTATAATTTGAGCTTAAGCCTAAACCTAACTTCCAATTCGAATGAAACCCGAAGCAATCCATATTTTGCTCAAAATAAAATTGTGTCAAAAAAAATATATATAAATTATTTAGTGCCCAAACATTGTATTTATCTAAGAATTTTTGCCAGATGTCAATTTTGAGTAGAAAACGAATTTAGCCCGCAATTTCTGTGTGAAAATATTTACGAACTGCAATATTTTCAGTAGAACGGGCAATTAGAAATTAAAAATTCAAATATTCCATTAAAACTTAGACAAAACACATATATTCCAAGCATGGTTTCGTACCAGATTCACAAACCGAACCAAACCAAGAGGCAGGGACTTGGTACAAGCCGCGAACCGCAGCGGCGAATACTTATTTTGGGCTTTGCGGATCTGATGCTCATAATATTTCTAATAATAAATATGATAATTTGGCATAGGGTATACATTACGGTATCTTTAATAAGCGGCTCGTTGTTTTCGTTGTTGTTTGGTTATTGTGTGATTTATGCAGGGTCATGTAATTCATGTGCAGGTCGCCGGGACCCGGCATTGACCCCTTAAGGGTACCCGCGCCGCATTCAGTCGCACAGTCGCACAGTCGCTCGTACTTATCCTCACACGCACTTGAGCACAGTAACAAAGCGCAAATAATTGGGAGAATTGGGGAGGGGAGGAAGGTCCACTTGAAATGGCCCTGAATAAATCGGCATTGGGCAGTCAGAGCCGCTCCAGTCGCTGCTGGGCCAGTTCAAATACATAAGTAGTCAAAGCTCATTTATGCGCATAATTTTTACTTATAATTTGCTTTTTTATTTGCCCTATGCCCAGCCAGTTGGAGTTCCTTGTGTTTCGCTGTATTTCTTTCATTGATGATGATTATAATGGAGGCAAGTTTCCAAATTGGTATTTGTTTCCATGACAAAAGTTGTGCCATAATCGCTGCAATGGCCAAGAAAGTCAACTAAGAGCTAAATGCTTATATTTATTTATAGATTTGCTCAATTTGATACGCACGCGTATCCCAAAGCCCAAAGCCCAAAGCCCCCTACCCCTAGGTCCCTACCCCAACTGCCAATGCATGAATTTGGGATAACTCAAATGTGCCCGACTTTTGGCCGCTAACTAAACTATTCACAGCTCCGAAACTGACCATCGGCCAATCTGTATACACATTTACGTAATATAACGTACATATGTATAGTACTTATATAAATATATAAATTCAAGTAGGCGTCTCAATTGTTCTCATATAGGGTATCATGTGTGGGCAACTGCCTGCACATGCCCTCAATTTATGGGCTTGAGCTTGAAATGCTAATTGTAAATGCATATAAATCAGAATTCAAATAAATTTTCATGCAAATTAGAAATTTTAGAATATTTAGTTGCCGCCGACAGAGTTGAGCAAAAACAAATTATAGAAGAAAAAAATATGTAAAATGTGTTCAATTGAAATATTTCCCATAAAAGTCGCAGGCAATTTGCAGTTTTTAATTAAACTATAGAATATATAGACAATTTTTCAGTTTAATAAGAGAAACGAGAGAGAGAGAGAGAGAGAGAGAGAGAGAGAGAGAGAGATATGAACGAGTTCTCTTTGCAATCCGCATAGTAAATACGGTCACATACAAAATGTAGGAGTTTATATTTATTTCATTTATTTTTTTATTTTATTTATATATTTCTGTTATTATTTCGAAATGATTGCCAGGGTTCAAGTACTCTTTAAAGATTGTCTGTAGTTTTCCACGCATTTTCCACCTACTATTTCCCACGAATATTCACATAAATTATCGAATAAAATGCAGAAATCGTCTTAGACTTAATATTAATTATTATCGATTTGGTAGCAGGACCTTTTTTTAGACACATCTCATGGAAATGAAGCGCTAGAGACATACAAATTAAGATGTAGTATGTATTCGCATAGTCAAGCGAATTTTTGTTAACCCCTAAGCATTCCTCTCAAAATTGGAAAAGTCCAAATCTTATATAATGTTCTGCCTTATAGAGGTAATATTTGGGTAGATACTATAATCAATTTACGAAAATTTCATAAGGATTCGACTCTAGTCCAGATTGCTTCTCCGATAAGGTGAGGAAGTCTTCAAACTCAATACAGTCAACATAATTTCTCCAAAGTATATAGGCTCTATAGCTTTTTAAAAATGTAAGGATGAGATATCCACATAAAGAACTCAATACTCTCTATAATAACTATCATAAAAGTCAGCTCTTACCTTTAACCTTCACACATTCACAGAGGAACAATGTCATCCGAGCCCGTGCGGCATTAACACCAAATGCGAGATTATTAATGGAGTGCCCACCTGTTCCTGCCTGCATGGCTTTCTGGGCAATCCGCTGAGCGGCTGTCGCCACGAGTGCGAGCACGACGGCGACTGCGGCGGCCGGGATATGTGCAGCAACTACAAGTGTGTGCCATCCTGTGGACAGTGCGGCATCGGAGCCAGCTGCAAGTCGGTGTCCAATCATAGAGCGTTGTGTGAGTGCCCCAAGGGCTATATTGGCAGTCCGTACACAGAGTGCCGGCCGGAGTGTTATGGTGATTCGGATTGCCCGGCGGGCAGGCCGGCCTGCTTCTATGGCATCTGCAAGAATACATGCGATGGCGCCTGCGGCGTTGGTGCCGATTGTAATCTGCGCGGCCTGACGCCCGTCTGCAGTTGCCCACGCGACATGACCGGTGATCCGTTCGTGCGCTGTCGCCCCTTCACCAAGGAGGATCTGTGCGAGCCGAATCCGTGCGGCACCAATGCCATATGTGTGCCCGGCCACGACAATACCGGACGCGAGCGACCCGTCTGCAATTGCCTGCCGGGCCACACTGGAAATCCACTCTCCCACTGCTCACGCGTAAGTCAGAGCTCAATAACTGTCCACTGGCACAAATAGATATAAACGCATATGCTCTGTATTTTAGGGTGAGTGCCTGAGCAACAACGAGTGCCCGGACCACAGGGCCTGCATCAACTATCAGTGCGTCGATCCGTGCATTGGCAAATGCGCCACTGGCGCCAGCTGCGAGGCCAAGGCACATCTAGCCGTCTGCCGTTGTCCACATGGCCAGTCGGGTGATGCGCTTGTCTCCTGCCGCCAGACACGCCTCTTCCCAGTGGCCAAATACCACTGAGCGCTGGCCCATCTCTCCGTGGGTGGATAGCAAACGCCGCACTGCCTGCCAACACTTCAACTCACGGCTCAAGCTCAACTCAGCTTCCAATCGAAATAATGAAAGAACAAAACAACAAATACTTCAATTAATGCACCTAATTCACTGACAAACTTGGGCTTACATTACAATAAAAAGAGTTACATAATTATGTATTATAAAACCAAAAAAAAAAAAGATCTTTTTTTACAGGCACAAAGCGTATATACGTGTATCGCATATCCCATTATAACCTTGTAGAGAGTATTATAATTTTGGAGGAAGACATATCCGATCACATGTACACATATATTTTTGATCGGTATCGATATAGAAATGACTTAATATAGACCATGTACAAAGTTCGAGCAGTATGTTATTGAATGAACAACTTGGGTTTTTCAAGAGAGCTTGGCCAAACTTGGAATTTACGTGCTGTGAACAAAATTCTGGCAACATCGGGCTATAGCTCTTGGTCGCAAAATAATTTTTCATATAGAAAAATTGTTGTTTTTTAAGATATCTTCAACGAAATCAGCGAGCTTTACAATCCTCCTCAGAAGTATACTTAATGTTCGGCAAACCAAGATAGCCGTTTTTTCTTCCTTTTCATACAGCTCAAAATCGTTTTTTATGGTATAATAGTCAAATGTTGCTTAGACTTACTAATTGGAGTTTTAAATACATTTTCAAATTCAACAAGTATTCACTGGTCGATCGTTCCAATTGCAGCTTGATACTGACAGACGTGTATATACTCCACCGGGTATTCCCAATCGCCAATACAGTTGACCATTGCAATCTAATATATTTATAACTGAATTTTAACATTGATTTCGTTAACGGTATATTTGATTTATCGATAACACATATCGATTAACAAATCTGAAGGCAAGGAGCGTGTATTGGTTTCCACCCTGACAACATTTTATGGAGAAGAAATCTAGTGTCTCCATTCGCCAGTACATATTTCATATAAGAAAGTGGCCTAGTACGCTTGTTATCGATAACAAACATCGATAAACTAAATAACTGAAAAAAACAAAATATGTTTACGATTTCTGATCAAAACTTAGCCGAGCTAAAATGCTATCAATTTCTACAAGCCAAATTAGTTTCTAAATTTGCAAATGGAATTTGAAGATATATATATGTGAAAAATCGTTAGCCAATTTAATAAGAAATTTTGAAAGTTCTTTAAAAATTGAATTAGTTACTTTATTTGATAACGTTAATATCAAACTTTCTGTATATTTTTAATATGGTATGTATGCATGAATATTTATAAATATCCATAGTCAATATATATATATATATATATATATATATACGTATACATATATAATTGACTATGGATTTACCGCACTTTCTAAAAGTCTGTCCATTAAATAATTATATTTGGTGTTGAAACACAACAAATATTTATACGACTTTGATTATAGTTCTATATAAAAATATAAAATACGCTCATATACAATATTACGTAATATCAGTATCATATCTAATTGGCGTTTCGAAAACAATTGCAAATTAATTTACAGAGTCACGAAAATAAAATTAATAATTAATGTTAATTATTCAACTAAATGGGTAGTGAAATGTGTTACATGGGCGTCAAATAGCAAAAGTAGTTGGCTTCTCGGGTTTGTGGAACTGTTGGAGTTAATTCTATATCGATGTAGTTGCCACAAAGTCCACCTAACTGAACTGTAGAAAAATAGTCGCAACTATGTAAAAATATGTTTTAATTTTATACAATATTGAGTTGATATATGTTAGTCTGCGTTTAAAATCTTTCCATGGCGAATGCCAGCGATAGGTAAATGATAAAAACCATATACATTTGTTCTCAATTTGTCGGCTGCGTATTCGCAATTATTGTTTGATTTCTCGTTATTATTGTAAATACAATTTTCTTTGTTTTGTTTCCGTTTTTAAATATAAATATATTCTTGTATAAATATGCAATTTGTTTTTTTTTACTATATATATAAATATATATATATACATTAATATATATATATATATATATATAAATATATATATATATATATATATATATATATATATATATATATATATATATATATATATATATATATATATATATATATCTCTGTATGTGTATAATATGTATATAAATTGCTAAATACAATTAATTGCGCTTTACACTTTTTTTAACGGCTCTGAGGCATTACAAAATTAAAACAAAAAAAAAAAAAAACAAAAAATTTGTCTTGTGCATGTGTATGTGTGTGTAAGCTACATATGCTTGTCTATCTGTGTATAAGTTTCTGTGTGTATGTGTTTGAGTGTTTGCCTTATGAACCTGTACTACGCGCCCCCACAACATATCTTCATCCACATCCTATTGCTGCTGCTGCTGCCACGATGTCGCTTTCAACTGCAACATTTGTTGGTTTTTCCCTTGTTCTTGCTTTGCTTTACTTGGATGCGATCCTTTTGCTGTTCATCGGAGGCGGTGCGCAGCTTATGATTCAGCACCTGTCGCGTTATGGACAGAAACATATCCTCCACATTGAGGTTGTCTTTGGCGGATGTCTCGAACAGCTCAATATCCATTTGCCGCGCAAAGCGTTGCGCATCCTCTGTTATGACCACTTTGCGGTCCGGATCATCATTCTTATTGCCCACTGGAAGAGCAATTGAAAAGAAGAGAGTTACAATATACAAATGTTTAGATTATATTGTCCCAACTAGTCACCTAATACTTTGTTGACCACATCGCAATTGTTCTGTATCTCCTCCAGCCAGCGGCGCACATTCGCAAAGGAGTCGCCATTCGTGACATCGTAGACAATGATCACGCCGTGGGTGCCGCGGTAATAGGTGCTGGTAATGGTGCGAAAGCGCTCCTGTCCAGCCGTATCCCAGATCTGCAGCTTTACCCGCAATCCGTCGATCACAACGGTGCGTATTTTAAAATCCACTCCAATTGTCGTTATATAACTGCCCGAGAATGTGTCATCTGAAAATCGTATGAGGAGCGAAGATTTGCCCACACCTGCAACAATGCACAAATAGAGATGAATAGATTGAAGAAATTGGGAAGTAGTGTACAAGTAAGATTCATGCAATTATGTAGTAATTGTGTGAGTGGATTTATTTTTTTATATTTTTGTGTTTTTTTGTTTTGTTTTGCAAGTGCAAGTGTGTAACAATCGTTGAAACTTTCTGTTTATGCAACAACAAACAGCGACAACAAATCATTTGGTAGCTGGCAGTTCTCTAATTACAATTGCAGTTGCTCAAAACGCCCTTAAAACTGAGCGGGGGCAACAACTCGATTGCATTTCGAGCTGTTTATAAGTTCGCATTAACCGACACTTTTGTGGCAAATGCAATTTAAGAATAAAATTATCAACAAATTTTGTATTTACATATAAGTGCAAATGTACTCGATACTCGAATTTCGAGTTTGAAGTCGCCTTATGTAACAGCAAAAGTCAATTATTTCAAGATCTGGCAACACTTTTTAATACAAGATGCCAAATTGGAAAGAATTCATTTTCATGCACAGCATAAATATACATGTATATATAGGTATATTGATTAGACTTAATTGTATATCGATAAGCTAAAAGCGTGCATAGTGCGAGAGAAAGAGCACGCTAATGCTTAATTAATGGAACGTGTAACAAAAATGGAGGCTTGGGAAGCGGCAACTGCAAACAGATTTATAATTTGTTTTACATTACAGATTGCGCCAACGGACAGAGAAAGAGACAAAACAGCTGATGGGGCGCAGATAAAACGCAAACACAAAACCCAAACAAAGAAATCGGTCAAAAACAAAAGCCAAAAAGCCGTGGGCCAGACAAATGCACAAATTTGGATTGAGCACAAGCAGCGCAGGTTTTTTCCCTGTTTTCTGTGTTTTTTATATTGGTTTGTTGCTATTTATAACGTTGCTTTACTGCTGGGCAGGTGTAAAAGATGCATGAAAAATGCAAGCATGTTGTATATTCAAAATACATGCAGACATGTGTTAGTATGTACGTGTGTGTATGGAAATATTTGCAGTTGCACTTACCGCTGTCGCCAATTATAAGCAACTTGAACATATGATCAAAGTGGCGTGCCATTTCGGAGCTGCTGTTGTAATTTACAGTTAATCGGCGTTGAGGTTAACGCTGGCAGCGGCGCTGACGCTGCCGTCCAGTTGAACAATGCAAAAATTTGTGAAAATATTCTGCTGCTGCTGCTACTGCTGCTCCGGCTATTGCTTGCTGCTTTTTGTTGTTGTTGGTGTTTTTTTGCCGTGCCTGTGCCTTGCTCCCACACACACAGACAGACACACCCACACACATATACACTTACGTGTGCCTCTGCCTCTCGCTCGCACTCACAGCGTTGATGGTGGCTGCTGCTGCTGCCGGTTGCTCAAATATGATAAACTGTTGTTCTTCTGGCTGCTGCTGCTGCTGCGGATGTGTGTGTGTGTGTGATAAGCTCGCTATTGTTATTACTGTTGTTGTACGAAGAGTTTATAGTTTGTTACTTGTTATTTAATTCCCGGCGTTAAAGCACTTGACGCTGCTGCTGCTGCTGATGTTGGTGTTGCTTTTGCATGTATTTATCAGCAATTTGGATAGGGGCCGCAAAGCATGAAATGTCAGACAGAGGCCGACTTGTTGTTATTGTTGTTGCTGTTTCTTCTGCTGTTGGTGTGTCGGAAGCGTAGTTGAACTTTTGCTAATGTTGATACGTTAATATTTTGGCTAATATCTGCTATGCGTATTTAAAAATATTACAATTACAAAGCTATTAATGTCACTCTGACAGCAAACACAACGCATACGCACAATAAATTAGTAACTTCTTTCTTTTGCCCTATCTCTTTCTTGCGCACAATGTCAGCGAATTATGCCTTTTATTATTAGACGTTGTAAGTTAAAATTCCACACACATATATGCACTCTTGTGTTTAAATTATATTTGGTTTATTTTGCACCTGCTCTGCTGACTGGCTTCAATAACTTAATTAAATTCATATTCTTAAATTATATGCATTTTATGAGTAAACTATTACTAACGCACGTATATATATGGAATGGAGTACGGATATAAAAAATACATCGATTTATCGATGCTGCCAACGATATACAAATATGTGTGAAATTTTACAGCACTGACTATACCATCGATAACATTTTTATTCCAAACTTTTAACTATTATTTATTGAATACATCATACAAAAAGAGCAAATAATATATTTATGTGCCATGATTTTAACATACATAAACTTTAAATATCCAATACCTCTCTAAACCTAAAGCAACACTTTTTAGCGTTGTTGATATCGAAGTTTCCAGATAACATCTCTATAATATCGACTAGGACAAAAACATTTGTGATACCGATTACGAGTATTCATGTCATTTATGCCACGTTCCCACTGTTTCCTAGCATCACTTATTGATTTCAATGCATGTTCTTAAAAGAGTTAAATGGCATTAACACACTAAGACACTAGTAGTTTTTAGTTATCAAATCAAAAAATGTACGTATATATAGTTATTTATTAATATATATATTTTTCTTGAATGTTCCACACGCGCTTCAAGTGTACTTTTCTGTCTGCAATGAAAAAGAGCAAGACGCATTTATCTCTTTTTCTCTACCTTATTTATAAAAAAAAATACTACGAGTGCATTTGAACATTGTTCTTGAGCTTACAAAAATAAAAGTACAAAATTCATGAGTTTGATAGTATGTGTAATAAAGAACTAACAACACTTATTAAAAAAAAATATTTGTTTACTTAATTCTTTTCTCTGAACTAACTAACATAAGAAACCTAAATTAACACACTTAAGCAACAGCTATGTACAAAGATTATATGATTAAATTAAATTATTTTACAGTAAACCTATGGATATAGTACCCATTCAGTCATTTCTTGCGGGAACGAGCGCGTGTGCGATTTGCCACACATGATATATCGAATGGCGAATGGAGTCCAAGGTTCAGGTTCTGCCCCGCGATGCTGCGTCTACGCCGTCGCCCGCGCGAGATCAATGGAGATGTATCCATTTGGGCTGCGCATGGCGAGTTGCGGGTGCGTCGTGCAATTGGCTCCCCATTACACTTGTCGTCTAGCTCCATTTCATCTGCTGGCGATCTTTCAATAGTTTGCCTTGAGCGCGAACGAGTACGGCGACCCAAAGGCTCAGCGTCTTTGTTCTGTCGGGACTCAGCGTAGAGACTTAAACGAGTTTGTTGAGCCCCGTTACGTTGCCCGTCATTACTGGGCAATGTTTGACGGTTACGCGTGCGCAATGGTGCAGTGTTGCGCAGTGTCAGATTTGTGTTGGGTCGTATTGTGGTTGGTATTATTACATTTGCCCTGGTCACATTCTCCTTCTCATTTGTGCAGCGTGATGAGCGGAATGGGAAATCATTCCAGTCAAAATCTGATTCACAGTCGGAATCATCTATTGTATACTTGATATTGCTGCTCTGCGGCAGAACATGATTTAATTGGCGAGTCGTTGTACCTCCTACGGCTGGAGTTCCCATCGAAGAAAACATTTCAAGTGGATCCAAATCATCATCATCATCTTCATCTTCATTGTCGTCGTCGACATCGGCATCGTTTTCATCAGTTTCATACACGGACGGATTATACTGAACCACACTGCAATCATTGCACCGATAGGTTTCATCTTTATAATTCGTGCATTCCGTATGCATCGGATTCGAACCGCACAGCACGCAGTAGAACATTGTTAGTGTGCTGCCTTCGCGTCCACCGGCACTAATGCAATTTTGGGCGGTGCACTGGGTCGGGACTAGAAGCTGATCGGCGAACGCATCATTCTCCTCCCAAGAGGCATCACTATTGCAAAAGGAACCAAATTAAACCTCGGCTTTTCGATGAGAGCTCAAATCTTAATTAGACCCACTTACCGATCCGGCACTGTAATGCCCCAGTATGCAACTAAACGGAATCTTTCGGCATCGTTGCACAACGGGCACTTGAAAAAATAGCCAGCCGAGTTGGCATAATGCTGCAGACAGTCCTTGTGGTACCAGCCGTTGTTGCAGCACTTGCCGTGCATGTATTTGGTGCAGCAAAACGCATTCCCCGGCTTCACCAGCCGCTCAAAGCATATCACACATTTCTCCTGCGCTTTGGGACGTTCTCGGTAGGATTCAATGTGTATATTGCAGAACGATTTGTACGTGCCAACATATTGATTCTGTGCGCCGTTATTTAGCCCACAATGCGTGTGGAACGTTTTGCGGCAACCGGGCTTGCAGCAGCCAATGTTGGCGCCCGCCTTATGGCAGTAGCAACAAATCTGCAATTAATAAAACAAAAAACAAAAATATATATTAGATTCAAGTTGTTGCCATGGTATAGTAATTGGAACAGCCAGCTAAAAGGCGCGCATCTACTCTTTCTATCTTGAAAGATTTATACACACTCAGCAAGAAGGTATGTAAGTATGTATTGTTTGTCTAGTTTAAATACACACTGCAAGGGTTTATGAAAAAAAAAGGTTGAGCAGGTAGCTGAGCCACCCTGTGTACGGCAGAATGGCGGCAGTTAATTACAGCTGTATAAAACTTACCAACAATTTGGTGCGTTCCGATTCGGCTTGAATATCCTTTACAGTAAAGTTCAAAATGTCATTGCTCCCATTGCCCCGTTGCACCAGATTGGAGCTCAAATACTATAGCGATTGATTGTGTTCGTAAATATTGGGTTTTGTTTTGAGAACCATTGTTTTTACATACCAGACAATTTTCGTGCACATTAATTTTGCCACGGCTATGAAACTTGCCAAGGCACAGTTCGTCATCTGTGCTCGAGCGACAAAGAGTGCACTTCCCCATACTTAATATGAAATGTATCCGATTTGTTATAACTTATAACGTTCGCAATGATGGCCGCGCAAATGAAGTATATTCTGCGAATGTAAACATATATTGGCGGGAACGCAAATGCTGACGTCTATTAGCACTGTTTCAATGGTCAAGTGTTAGTTAACTTTCGTTTAATTTTATATCGATACATAGTCAATCGATATTTTAGCTGCAGTGTTAATAAGAAAACCAACAGCTTGTCGATGACAATTGGCGGCAGTATGTGGAAAACTAATGCAAACAACGTAAATATGCGAGTTTAGATTCCGACAACAGCCGTCGAACTTAAATTTAGCGGAAAAAAAATGTACCTACATATGTTTCTAGTGAAAATTTGTAATACAATAAATTACAAGTAAACACGTCAGCTGGGACTAAACATATGTATATGCCTTTATTCACACGAGTTGCTTTGGTTAAAATTCTAAAATGTAATCTGCACGGACGCATTAACGTTAATCTTGTAAATATATTTAGGTCATACACTTTTATAATTCCTTAGTTCATGCACATACATTCTGTTGGGTTATAAATTATTTGGACAGTCGCACCACAAGCGACAATTACAATACAAAGTTAATTATTACACAAATTCCATAGTAAAATACAACTAAGAACCATAATTTGATTGCCCTATAGACTTAACTGCTATCAATAATGATGTATATATATATAAATATAACTAGATTTTACACTTTTCTCGAGCGAGCAAGTTCTACAATACGTTGCTATTTGCTTAATCTCTATATATTGCGGCTTTGTAATGAACAAAACAGTAAAACACAATAACGAATTGGGCTTAAGTAGACGAGCAATAGCAGGTGCATCATCATCTACCTATATGCCTGCACGTTCCAATGCGGTTAGCTGGGTGCCCAGCCGTTCTTCCTTGGCTTTGCGCTCAGCGCTAATCTTCTTTGAGCTCTGATACGTATTGAGAAAGGTCTGCACATCGATTTTACCATTCAGGAAATGCTCCACATGACGATCACAGTCGGCATCCGCATTTGAGGCGGCTATTTGCAAAAGTTCCTGTACGAAAAACTTCTTATTAGAATGATTATCAATACCATTTAAAATTGCAGTGCATTTTACTCGAATGTGCTGTGGTGCATATTCCTCCGATTTCTTCAAGTATTTCTTGTTCAGTAGATCACATTTTTCACCGAGCGTTTTAAGCGCCGTATAGTCGTCGCTGAGCCGTCTCTTTAGTTCAACTAGATGTGTGCCCTTGCTTTCGTTTTCACCTGTATATAGAGTAGCTTTAGAGTCAAACTATGCAAGATATCGGAGCAAATTTACGCGATATGTTCTCTACTTGATTCATCATGGAATCCAGCTCCTCATTCAAATGCTGCACTACAGACATTTCCTCAATAAAATCATCAAAGAACTCGGGATCTCGATCAAGCTGCTTCAGTTCATCTAGCGATAGTGTTGACAAATTTGGCATATTATCGTCCTCAACTTTTGGTTCATTGACGCCATTGCTCTCCTCGTTGGTAAGTTGCTGCTGCTGCTGCTGCTGAGACGTCTGCTGCGCAGTAGGCATCTTGCAGTCTGGCAGCAAATCGCTAAAAAGAGTTTCCTTTCTATACTAAGGGTTCAACAATATTAAAATATTATTAAAGCCTACTTCACCACATTTGTATATAGAAAATTGTATAATAAATGTACTCACTTATTGCTTGCTAGAACTGAACGTATTTACATAAAATTATCACTTCCAAAAATGAAATTAAAACTGGAGTTCTTTTTTTTGTAATATTATGTTATAACAAAAACAACATTGCATTCTATGAAGCACCGTTTGTTTGACAGAGTTGCCACTTTGCCACAAATTAAATACCAACCAATTGGCTAACAAATGAATATTCCAAACTTTTGTATTACTTTATAGATATTTTTTTTAACCATATGTAGATATTGGCACATCGATTTATCACTATATGCATTGTGGTCAATTGGCAATTTTTGATGGGCAAGACCCAGTGGTGAACAGGTAGTGCTAACAATTCAAGAATGTTGAATACCCTGGACAAATGGCGGTAAACTGCAGCTGTGATTGGGCCTAATACAACCACAAATTTAAATAATATATTAAATGTTCAACTGCTGTTTTGAGAAAACATTAAGGACTAAACAAATCGAACACTCTAGATACTTCGCCCAGAACAATAGCCAAGGACCAATAGCCAATAAAGGCAAACAAATTTGCTTAGATTAATTTAATACAGCCACACTGTCCTCCCTGGCATTGGTAACTCTGCCAACCACGGTGTTTCTCATCTCTATTAGCTATCAGCTGTTTTTCATTATTTTACAATTCAGAATATCGCGCTGCTAAACTCGAGATCGGAAATATTTACATAATAGGCAACGTAAAAACCTAGGCAATGGCATTGTTTGAAATGAAGTGGCTGCGCCGTTTCGTACGTCGCCACACAAATCCGATACCGGAGCATCGTGCCGATTTGTGGAAGCGCCGCTTAAGCATTGGCTATGCAATACTGGCATGGCAAGCGTTTGGCTTCGTGTGCTACATGGCCTTCACCGGTCGCAACGACTGGGCCAAACACTATGGCTACAAATCGGAGGAGGATCTAGCTCTGTCACCGGCACAGCAATTTGCCAAGCATATTAAAGTAGAAGGCTCCGGAAAAATTATACGTCTATCAGGATTTTCCAAAGTGGAGGAGGTACCCTTCGACTCAAACACCATAGAGCGGGTGAAGGACTGAGCATGTCTGATAATTTAGTTGGTAATTTATCTAATGTAATGTGTTTTTTTTTCTGTTGCAAAATAAACTTAACAAAACTAGTCTATATGGTATTTCGAGCCACGTGTTGGTATTTTACCGACAACGAAGAACGGTCACATTGGCAGCGAAGGCAAACAGAAACAGACGCCGCTGCAGCAAACACAAACAATCAAAGCTAAGGCTGCTAACACACGAGCAGCAAAGGCATCTGCAATAATAATAACAATAATAGCAACCACATTATTGGCAAAAATCAATTAGGAACGCGTCCGTATGTGTTTCTAACAGTATACATTTAGGGCTTTACCGTTGTTGTTGTCAATACTGATCTATTTGTATGTCGCGTTGCATTTCGTCTATAAATAACACAGAACAACAGCAACAATATCATCGAAATCTATTTAATGAATATTAATTGGCTATCAAGCGTGCAGTGCAGTCCGAGATGAAGACGAGGTCACAGAGTCTGCCTCTCAACCTCTCTCTATCTGTTTCTTTGTGCTATGACAGTGTTGTGTGTGTGTGTGTGTGTGTGTGTGTGTGTATGAGAAATAACGGGACTAGCAGACAAACAACAATAACAAATGGCATTTGCACTGCTCTTGTCTAATTGGAATTTTTGTGCCAAAGAAATGCTTAAAACAAGCTCAAGCCGCAAATGATTGCTAATTAGTTGAATTTATTTTTATTTAATTTGATCTCTTGCAAGGCTTCATTCCCGACACGCATACGAATTTCTAATGCAATTAACGTGCGCAACGCTGCCGACGTCGCAGTCGATGCCTATGGGTGCTGCAGCAGCTGTGTATAAAACATAAATGTGTTTTTTTTGTTCTTCAAATATATACAAATTGTAATGTATATAGTATAGATGTGTATGCACATAGTACATGAGTTATTTATGTGCTCTCCTTTTTATTTATTTGTTTTTTAGTGCAGTTGCAGAAGAGAGAGAAAGAGAGAGAGAGAGAGAGAGACGGTGTGTGTCTTAAACAACGTGCTCGTCTAACGGCATTTAAGTTTGTTAGCAATTACAAAAGCAAAGTCAAAGTGCATATGCTGCAAGCACACATATAAACGCATATATATATGTATAATTATACGTATATATATGTGTACATTTATGTGTATTGTGTGTACCGTACCGTTGATTGATTATTACTGTTGATTGCAGCTGCCTCCAACATTGCATCTCTTGCGGGTAAGTGTTGAACAATTATGACAATTTGTAGCTATCTTTATTTCTCTTTACCCATCTCTGGCTGGCGAAATTGACTTTAAAGATCATTAAAAACGCATTAACTATATAATTCGAGTGAAATTTTGTAAAGTTCACTTTCCAATTCTATGCCAAACAACAACAACAACAGCAAAACGTAAATCATTAACAATTTGTGCATAAATATTAACAGAAATGAGTTTAGAAATGCAACAGCAACACGACAAATGCCAAAAGCCAAAAGAAAAACAACAAAAAACGTTAGTTTCTATTTTTACCTACATATCTGAAGTAAAAATGAAACCATTTGTTAATAATTTATTGTGTTTGTTTTTTTTTCTTTTTTTCTCGAGAAACGAAAGGAAAACGTATTATAATATGTTTTAACAATCGAATAATAAAAGAGCATTATACAAGCGCCGCGAAATGTTTAGCATATGGTAGAAATGCGAACAAAGCGCGCGATAAACACCCAAACATAAACACACATGTCAACAGAGCATATTTCGAGCATGAAAACTGGAATGGGAATCGAAATGGGGGGAAAGACTCGCAAGACATAGTATACGGTTTTTGGTGACAACGAATAGGCAACACTCTACCTCGCCGTTTAATGACATTCAAATAATATTTACCGAAATATTTATCGATCATTGACGACCGATTTAATTCGATATCTATAGCAATCGATCTATAAAAATAGCTGTTCTCTACACGCATCTTATCAGAAAATAAATACCTTTTAGTAGAAACGCTAGTAGCCTAATAAAGAAAATCGCTAATGGTCGTCTATAAAATGCAATATGAGTTATCGGTACATTAATTGATCAAAAATGATCAGTAAGAACTATTGACTGCTTTAACGTTTTTATTAATTATCCAACAGCTGCCCCAGATCTGAACGGCATTTAAGCACAGTTTTATGGTAGATTGTTTGTAGCTAAATGCTGAAGAAAACAAAATGTTTTATTTATTATCTATCGTTGAGAGGCCGTAATTGGCTTCAATCAATTGAATATTAAGCAGCTATTTAGATCCATAACCGGCCATCCTTCTCGTACACCCCCAATTGTAGGGCAACGGGGGCGCACCAAAGCGTAACACTCACATCGAGGCGAAACCGAGAGACAAACCAACAAACTCGACTGAATGTTAGTGATTCTTAATACCCTGCACCGTTTAAATGGTGAAAATGCCTGTTGCATTCTTATTCTTGGAGTAGTTAATATAATATATTGTATTAGAGCATAAAAATAAGTGTTGACGGATCTATCGACTTACTTTTTTAACATTTTGTACTGAAAACTTGTCTGCAGGGTATCTAGCAGCCAAGCATGCCCAACAAAAACATTTCTACTTGCTTTTTTTTTTTTTAATATACTTATGTCATGCTCGCTGGTCAGCCGACTGTCTGACTAGTTAACTGCCCACTGTCTTTCTCAGGTGCCGCTGCCAAAGCTAGGCGTAATGCGATCCGTTAGTGCCGCCCAGCGATCATGGGCTGGGGATGGGGGCTGGGCACCCACTGCGGTGGGGGGTGGGGGTATTACCACGACGCCTCTAAGCAGCGATAAGTGACGTTTGCTTTCCGATGGTCATAGACCCCAACGAGTCTTCGGACCGGCTGGCCAAAAACCGAAACCTAAACAATAAAAAACATTTAAGAAAATAAAAAATAAAAACGTAAACGTAAAACTGCAAAAATAACGCACAGAGCCGACGCGGTTTGTGGCTTTTGCGGTTCCGGTAGGCCCCAAACGTCTCTTTTTGCTGTTGTCCGTCCGCTCGATAAGCCCACGACACGCTAGAAGCAATCGCATCTATAGAATTTGGTCTCGGTACCGGGACAGGGGCCAAAGACGATGAAAAAGAAGACATCAGAATGGAACCCGAGTTATCTAAGGTATCTAGCTGAGCCCATTCTTGGCTGCGACTGTCGGACTATCTGACTGTCTGCCAACTGCCAAAGAATACAAAAGAAACAGATATATGTATAAAGAAAATGAAACTCAACTGTCATCAATGACGGCATTAAGCCAATGGCCGGCTTCTCAGTTGATTGGCCCATGGGCCACATCATGCAGCGGCTGGGAAACGCTCCCATGGGTAACCCGACAATGTGAAATCGATACAGAAATGTGCCGTCCCCCATTCTGCTGTCGTCCACGGTAATCTTTCTCATTCTGTAGAGTTCAGTAGTTGACGCCTTTTGTCCATTACTGACATTCCAAGAGGCGACACTAATATCCATCAGATAACTTGCAAACAACTTTTTTGAACTCATTTTATAATTCTTTTCAATATGCTTAGGATTGTAAATATTTACCTGGACACGATTATCTATATTAAAGAAGAAGTTGGTCGACACATGTAGAAAAATATCCACATACAATATGCATATCAAGTTTATTTCTAATACTATCAAGAGTATTCTACTGGCTAAGCTAGGTTCCCTACTCCAGTTGCAGTTGAGAGAGATCCAAATCCAACAATTATAAGCTATGGTTCCATTCATCTAATCATTTTTATACCCTGAACCCTTAAAAAATGGGTATAAGGGTATATTGTATTTGTGCAAAATCCAAATGTATGTAACAGGCAGAAGGAAGCATCTCCGACCCCATAAAGTATATATATTCTTGATCAGCACCAATAGCCGAGTCGATCTAGCCATGTCCGTCTGTCTGTCTGTCCGTCCGTCCGTCCGTATGTATGAACGCAAGGATCTCAGAACCTATAAGAGCTAGAGACTTGAAATTTTAGATGTAGATGATCGATAACTTCCTTCGTTTCCGAGCAATCGATAAAAATCTATATCAATATTCTGTTTTTTTGGGCAATTTTGGTAAATAATAAGAGCTAGAGTCACCAAACTTGACATATAGCTTCTAAAATAGAATATATATATATGCATTTGATGTTGGAAGAAGAGGGTTCAGGGTATCCCCTAGGGAGCTCCCGACTAGAACCTCTTACTTGTTGGTAGTTGCAAATTGTGGAAATTTTGCAAATGAAATATTTTCAGTACGACGGTCAATTGCAAACCAAAACTTAAATGGTCTGTTCAAAGTTTTGAAAATATATGACGAAAAACATTTAATACCATAGTGAAAAAATGGTTAAATTTGGCCTTAAAAATACCAAGAAATGCCAAGATCTTACACTTTTCGAAGGTAAGCTTAGGCAGCCAAAAATGTAGATATATCTGGAGAGGCTGTTTCAGCTATTCGTCCTGATAAAGAATAGACTATATACCTCTCTATCGAATATTGTTATAGCCTCGCAGGTGTAAGGAAAACGTATTAGCCAATATAAGTAATCATTTATTTGTGCATTTTTTATTTGTATACCTTTTTGTTGAATTTTTAAATTTAGTTTTCGTTTGTCATTTGTGACAGTTATTTGTTTAATTTGCTTTGATGAGAATGTGGCATTTTTGTGGATTTGGTTTTATTAATACGCAAGATGATTTAGTGTTATTGAATCATGAACGATTCGATCCGGATTTCAATATAAATTAATTAGGTCCGCGCTTTAGAGAGAGCAGTTAGACGTGTAGTTACGGGCTACGACTTACAAGTTGAAGCCAGGGTTGTGTCTTCATTGGTCGCCTTTGCAATTTCATTGGAAGTATTGTTCGACTTACTATTTTCTAAAAAGTTAGCTGACGATCAATTGAGATCTTTTTGTGGGGTCAAAACTCTGCTGTACTTACGCTCAGCCTGAGATTCGATGTTTTCTCTACTGGATATTACGTTTAATCTGCAACTACTCCACAGTGTTGTCAGGGAAGATCCAATGTTCTCCAGCGCCGTCAACTTGTGCCCACCCTCGAATAGATCTGT